TCAATCTTACTTTAGTAGAGGATATAATTATTTCGCTTTTAGCTTATAAACGTAAAAGTAAGAATAATCAAAGAATATGAAAAGCTTTTACTCTATACTACAATGAGAGCTAATTCGCTATTTTTTAAATTTAGTTTATAAAAGAAGTTGACTATGAGAGCCACATGGAAGAAAACATTGTGACCAGACATTGGATACTTAGTACAATACTTGGTACTTTTTCGTACTGAGTACGTAAAATCCTAAGTACCAGTACATTTTTTGCAGTAAAAGTACATCTACTTTTTACTTCAAAATTGTACTTTGTACTTATACTTAAGTACATTTGTACTTAGTACCGGCACTCAGTACAATGTACTCAGTACAATGCTGGCACTCTTAAAACAATCCTTTTATGTATCCTATTTTCTATTTTTTCTTCTTTGCATTGGGTTCTAAGTGTTTTCTATCTGTTAAATGTACTTTAATGATTCCAAAACGGCTCTAAAATCGTAAATAACAGACTAATTGCAACTTTTCTCAAATATTCTTTAAAGATGACTAACTAATATATAAATTCTATGAATTGAGTACTTGTGTCAGATTCCATGAAGAAAACTTAAAAATGAGATTAATATCGACTAAAACGCCATTATTTAAATATAATTAAAATCTGGTTTTAGTCTCATATCATATTTTTGATTTTTTCTCATTTGACGATTGTTTTCTAATTCATCTAATCGAATGAATTTTATTGATGGATCAAAATTGATGGAGTTTCAGTAATTCATTAGAAAAATTCAAAACACCTTCAAATCAGCGGAAATACAAAATTTAAACGCAAAAAAACAGATTCCAATCAGATTAAAACAGTGTCATTGCAATCGATTCAAGTGTGAGAAGAACCAATTTTAATATCAGTAGATATGAAAATATGGCATAATATGGATGCTAACTTCGATTGTTGTTCATAGTGACAGATGCCATTAGACAACAAAACCGATTGACGCTAAGAAAAATTATTAATCAAAGCCTAACGTGAAATTGTACTTTGTACTTTAGTACAATGTACTTAAGTACGATGTACCTAGGTACATTGTACTAAGTACATTTGTACTCAAGTACCTGTACTGAGTACAAACGGACTTGAGTGAAATGTACTTAAGTACGGTACAAAGTACAATTGTGAAGTACAAAGTATTTGTACGTATACTTCATGTACTTGTACTGGTCCAATCACTGATTGTGACTATCATACGATTGAACAAAATTTCAGAGGGCGTGTTAAATATATCTACCTCAAATGGTATGCGCATGCACGAACTATTATGTTATCAATCAGTTTACCGAATCTATAGATATTTTGTCTAAAAAGTCCTCTCACGCCCAAAGAAAAAAGTACAGAAAGACAGTAACTATGTACCCAGGGCACTAATATGGAAATGACCATTCGAGCTGTCTATGATTCTGAAAATTTCAGCTTGGATAATTTACCGATCGCAATAACTCATATGATTACAATGCTGTCGAATTGGTAAAAACGAACAATTATGTGTGCAAAATAAACCTAAAAATAGCCTGCTAAAAGAGACTATTCTGTAAAATTCTAGAAAAACAAGGGAATATTATCATGCTTCCCGATTCAATACTGCTCAATAGAACCTAGAATGTTCTTCATACCCAGGTTTGGACGCCTGATTCTTGGAGTTGCATTATGAGAGAAAGCCTCAATGGTATTTTGTGACGGTGTAGTTGGGTTTTTGCAGCAGAGTATAACTAGATTTCAAACTAGTTTCTTGATCATTTCTCGTCGGATTACTAGCTAAATTGATTGGAGTGATGGTGCTATCCGTAAAATTCACTATTCTTTGTTGGTTTCTTGAGTCATGGAAGTGGTTATTCCTATAAATCACTCATATAGATAGAGGTTTAGAAATAATCAGCATCCGTATTTGTTAAAGATACCTGTCCGCATTTCGTATTATTCGGGCATGATCGGTTAGATCCTTAAAAGTTAAAAACAGGTAAAGAAATTCATAAAATTTGTCAAACCTACTTCAAGAGATCTCCGCCTCTGAGAATGAAAATCATCAACATATCGTGGATGGTATGTACGGTTATTTGATTGTCGAAATGAACCTTCTATTGACTCTTCGCTCTCGAAACCAGTTACATAGGTTGGACTATCTATTCTTCGATTTCCATCGAGCAGTCGTTCACCCTCAATATAAATGATGGTACATGTCGATCGATAAATAGTGTCCACCTAAAGTTCTAACACCTGGCTTTTATAATACCTTAATAATAGTTATCATTATTATTTCCGAATAATTCGGGCGCGCTTCACTCACCTCATTAATGTTTGGATATTTTATGAAGAAATTTAGAAGTTCATAGCAATCGAACTTTATGCTGTCATGCTGAATTAAGATATTTTTAATTCTACGCACTGATTACAATTTTTGACTTGAGACGGTCAATGCGCTGACACATAATACAATAAAAAAGCTATAGCCCGAAAATGTGCGTCTCTAATTACAATAAAAATTATAGAATTCCAATCGCCAAAAGTGAAAAGATTTTTTCTTTCACAAAGTTAGTTATACCAAGAATATCGTTGTATTCGATTCCAGTACTACGTACACTGTAAAAAAAACGTATATTAATATACCCTTAAAGGGTTTATTACAATTTCCATTCAGGCAAGCGCCTTAAAAAACGCGTTAACAATCTTTCGGAAAAAGAATCCAAAAACAAAGGAGTAGACGATGGTTCTTTTTCGTTTGTGTTTACAATGCGCATCACAACGTATTTTTTGATCCGATTAAAATTTTGGAACTTACTGCGTTGTCCTAGGTTCGATCATGAGATGTATTGGTTGATAGTCCAAGATGTTATCCATTCGGTCAGTCGTATGATATCAATATGTAGTAAGAAATGCTACTTAAATCAAACGAAACTTTATAGGAAACTGAAGATGATATAAAGTTAAGCGGAACAATTGTTATTACATTTTTAATTGCCATAAAAATATACAAAAAATATTTTGCATTTAAAAAAATTATTTTTTTACATATTTGAATAAATTAGGAAAAATTTGTTTTTGACGTATATTTCCTCAAAAAGAATTTTAAAAAGATTTAAAAACGTTTTGCTTCATTTTTTCAAAAATTTTCTAACATATTTCTTATTTTTCTAGAGATTTATGACGTATATATTTCTTATACTTTTATAAAATTGTTGGTTTATTTTAAAAACCTTTAAAAGTATAAGTTTAGCTCGAAATGATTCAAAATTTATTAGAGAAATTAGCGCTTCTTTATCATACCGTTATGTTTTACGAAACAGGTACGAAATGAAAAGTGCATCGATGCATGCATGGCAGCATTGTGAGAAAATGATTGTATTAACATGTTTATTATATCAAATTGTTTGAAGTGTCCCGTGAGAAATTTTCATGGTATATATATATATCAGTTGAAAAAGTGTAATCCTTTGAACGAAGAATAAAAAACCCTTTTGATGATGAAGTAGAACAATAAATCCCCGTAAATCCCTCACCGTAGAATAAAATACCCTATTTAAGTAAGTAATAAACCCTTTTCTCGAGACCGTAGAATAAAATACCCTTAGTACGAAAGTAATAAACCCTTTTATTGAAACCGCATATTAAAATACCCTTGAAGATAAAAATCATATACCCTTCTCCTTAAATCTCAGATTAATAAACCCTTTTTCTTCTTGTATCATCTTTTTTTCATATACCCTTCGTTTCATAAACCCTTAAAGGGTTTATGACAACGCCATAAACCCTTCAAGGGTTTAGCATGATTTGTAGAAAGGACAAGGGTTTATTATTCTACTCTTTTTTTTTACAGTGTACTTCCATGTAAGCCATGGTTTGAGCGGCATTTTATCATACAGGAACTCAATCCTTGAGATTTCAGAAATCTGATTAAAAAAAGCCTGAGTCGTGCTGTTTTTTGAAATTGCAATATCTCAAAAATCATTTGAATCTAGCAGAACGTATAGTTGAACTACTCTTAAGGAGGCAAGGTAATATACTGTTCTGAAAATGCATTACCGCAAACTTGGTCTGCAGTGAAGAACAATAAGAAAGCATACTTCATAGTGTCATAAAAACAGCAGGACAAAATATTCTCTTGGCCTTTACACATTCCCTCATGACTTTGTAAGCACCTAGGATATAATGTCTTAGGGAAACAAATTTTTCCTGGATAGATTAAACTCTGATTTCCTATTATTCTTCTATTCATCAAAAGTCTTTAACGCAGAAAGAATGCCGAAAAGGCTGCACCTATCAATTTTTTTCTAATTTGTCGGAGCTGATTTACTGTACGATTCAGCGTCTTACATTGAATGCGTTACAAACCGCTGTAGATCTAACAATGGATGTGTTCGAACTGTAAGTTGAATTTACCAGATATTTTTGCATCAATAGAAAGCCTTCAACGCCAAACTAATATGGTTAAAATATTAGCGACTGTTGGTGCAACCTTATGGAGATATTCGATTTTTAAGTTCATGGCTGGGGCATATAGATACTTTAGGATTATTTATATCAATTATTTTATACAATTAACCGAGTACTTTACTTCTAGACTATTAGAATCTTTGTGAAGCTTATTAATAGAATTAAGATCACCCCTAATTTTGATGCCTTTTGGGTTTGGTTGTGGATGCGGGTTGATATGACAACAGAAATCAAAGTGTACCCATCCAAACACCCACACCCACACCCACACCCACCAAATAGACTCTGTAGGCCTTGGCAGTTGGGGAGTCCGCTGTTTTCACCCCTGGTGCTGCCACTAGTCCATGATAAATTATTTTGCAAATAAATACATAAATGCAAGTACATATTCCCCTTCAATTGTTTCATACCATTCATTTTTAGTTTATTTAATATTCCACAAAAATCAATAGAGAAAAAAAACAAGTTAATGAGTACCATAATGATCTATAATTCCTATTTGTTACGATACATAAGGAATCAGAAATCAAAGCCATAGACAAAATTTTGATACATCAACATGACTTCGACAGTTAGGGAAACGAGTTTGAACCATTGAACGATAAGCTTCTACTTTTTGGTAAGGAATTGCACCATAAATATCAAGAAAGACAAAGTGTTTCAATTGTTCTACTAATTGACGAAGATCTTGTTCAAAAATACTGACCTGTTGAGCTAAATAAAAGAGTTTATAGTTTCTATTATGAATTATTTCATTTACAAACCTATCAATTCAGATGTGTACAAGACTGTCCACCATCGGTGATGGGAAGTCTCACGAAAATATCCTTCTGAACGATTTGGTAGCACTTAAACAAAAAAACAAAAAATAAAAATCTGAACTTAAGACAAACGATTTCTAAATTTTAAATGTCATTCAGAGAAGAATCGTATTGAACATGTCTTGTCTCATTTATCATAATCTATCAAAAAAACATCTATATATTTGTCATTCTTTCTTTTTAGTCATTTTATTTTATCTAATAAATGTACTGTAGAAATTAATAGATAAGGGCAAATTTTAAGTGTAAACTAAAGCTCCGCGGGGCGATCCCATCCCGGGATGGGACGATAAAAATTGAAAAGATGACCAGACGGAGCGGGATTGAACATGATTCCTGATGAGATGGGATGAAACCCGATCAATTCACTTTTCTGTCCCGCCAAGTTCATACACGTAGGAACAACGATTGTGCGTAAATTTATACGGAGAGAACAAAGATGATAGGTGGATTCCAGTGAATCCTAGGATCTAGTAAGATACTCCAGGTTCCATCTTTCGGCACTGATTGCAAATTATTGTAAACATAATTAAAGTTTGATAGATTAAAGTAGACTGAAGTTTACTTAACTAAAGTAAGTTCTGACAGTTCTCTTTAGATTCTAATAAATCTATTTTACAATTTATTACCGTTCATTGGTGTCCATAAGAGTCCTTCAGTATCCAACAGTGTCCATCAGGATCCACATTATTGTTTTTCATTAAATATCAGTGCACGCTGCTAAACTATAGTTGGGATGAATGTATTTCAGCGAGAATTAATATATCGCAATTGCTTTATGAGGATTCTGGTAATTATTGATAAAATTTGGTACTGCCGAGTGAATCAGCTCTAGGATCCAGCCGAATCGATGTGATTCAGTAGGGTCCAAAGCCCGTCCCCATCCTTCATAGCTATAGTTTTACTATGACGGAGCATAGATCTTGAATTAACCGAACAAATCTTAACGATGTATTTTTTTCTTAGATCAGTTACTCGAAAAGCAGTACTTTTGCTTGTGTTTTTTATTAGACTTTTCTTTATTTTTATAACAGCGACTTTCTTATGTCAATGTCATTGTGGTGAAACCTTTTTCCATGTAAACATTATCGTGTAGTATATAGCTAGTAAAACGAATTAGTTTCATTAACAAGAAAGTATGAATTAGCTAATATGTTTCAAATACATTTTTAGATAAAAAGAAAGGATTTTGTGTTTATACATTAGAATACTGCGAGACGGGATGGAACAACGTTTTGGGCGTCCCGCGGCGCTCTGCTGTTTCTGTCATAGAGCATTGTATTCATATAAGAAACGTGATGAAGATATGCGAAATCTACATTATAAGCCATTAAGAGTTATATTGATAAGCGTTTTCCAAAGCTCTTTGCTTAAGATTATGTTTACTTTCCATCGAATTCATACGTTTCAACAAAAAAAGACGATTTTGAAAATACCCAAATTTACTTTTGATGCATCGAATCCAAGGGGGAAGGCAGATCTTTAGAATTTTGAAAATCCCAAAATTGAAAAGCATTTCCCCCCTTGTGAATGACGTAGTTTCGACCTGAAATTCTTCCCATATATAGGTTTCATGATCCATAGAAGATCTTAAAAGTTTCAACTCGAATAAATGTTTCCTTTTTAAAATATTGAATTTTCAAAAAAACTGGATTTCCTGGCCGTGTCATAAAATGAGTATTTCTTGCGCATTCATTATCTTGAGAAGGAAACATCCGTTTGTGCTGAAAATTTTAGAATATTCTAAGGATCATGAGGCACACATGAATAAAAAAACTCAGCTGGAATTTCCATCATTCAAATTTTGGATTTTCAAAATCCCAAGCTCGCCTTTTCCCCTTGAATGATTCACTACTAACGCAGATATACTCAATAAAAAAGGATAATTTTAATTGAATTAATATGAAAATAATTCTTTTCCTAAATCGTAAAAAGGGAATTTTTCACTTATATTCGTACAGAAATATCTGTCAAAGCACTGTAATTGATTTTCTCTTATTTATAATAAACTTACCAGTTGTCCAAGGGAAATCATCTGGTCGCCAGAGACGTAATGTTTGTAAATCAGGCATATACATCGTGAGAAATGGTACCAGATGTTTACCAATATAAGCAGATTCATTTCTACCACAATGACAGCTAGGAATACCAAATTCAGTATATCGAACAGAAGTTAATGCATTATTTTTTAATTCATTAAATGCCTAAAAATAACATATGAGAACAACTCGATTCAAATACAGAAACCAAAAAGGAGTAAGTCACAAAATAAATTATATGGATTTAAAATAATGAAAAAAAAACAACAGTCACAGAATGCTTGTCAAATCGAACAGATACTTACATATTCAACTACGTGTAAAAGCCATTGGAATTTTTCAAGTAAAATATATTTGAGTTGGACAGGCATTGAAATTAGATGAGCAAGTACTTTCGCACGTTCTTTGTTTCGACCTGTTGATTTATCACAAGCATCTAAAAGAAATCCTTATTGATATTCTTTAAAGTTTAATATTTAATTTCACACTAAGGAATATTAATTTAAATCGTCTACTTAATGATTATATACATTATTACGATAAGAATTAAAGGATAAATGAATTGCAATACATGAATTATATGAATTTTACAAGACATTAGAAGTCGTTGCGAGAAATGTCAGTCTACTTGTATATGTATGTATTGTAGAATCGAGACGAATGAGATTAAGTGTCTGCTCCATTAAAGCAAAAAGATGGTTAATTTACACAAACCGCTCTGTTGTAGGGCTAGTCTTTGTCGCGTCTTATAGTTCAAAGTTCACAAAGCTTCACGATTAATTTTTACACTAAACTATTTTATCCAGATTTGTAGTGAATCAAACGAAATATATTTTGCCAACAAAATTCAACTTTAACCAACATAATTGACAGAGACAGGGGCAAAATACTGAGCAGTTCACTCTTCAATGATATCCATTGGATATTGTGAAAGGAAAATGTTTCATTGTCTTTATAAAATTTCAAAATAAAAACAACTTCATACTTACAGTTTTCACGAAAAAAACGATCTCCAAAGGTAAGCTTTGTAATATTTCGAAATCGAATATCGGCCACCTTGTGTAGTCCTGTTTCGAACGGCTTTGCCAATGATAACTGAACATCTGCTTCATCAAAACTTTTATAATATTCTATTTTAAAAAATGAAAAATTATTAATTTAAAATTACTTCTGAATCTCTGTATTTTTAAGTCAACGTGTCTAATATAGATGTGTGTGAGATTGGAACTAAAAAATAAAAATTTGTTGGGGCTAGACCAGCTAGAGTTCGACCGTTCAAAAGAACTTTTTCCACGGTTTTGTTTCGAAGAAATTTAGAAAAGACGGTTTCAATTCGTCTCTTAGTTCCATTTTTGTGAAACCATCAATCTGGAGGGAAGTGATGGAACCAATTAAAGAAAAGTTACAGAGATAAGAACTATAAGAAACATTTATTCAAAACGAAACTTACGAGTAGGAGAAGCACTTTATCTTTATACCTTATTGGATAAAGTAAAGAAAATTATAGTAAAACACTGTAGTTTTAATTTTTTGTCAGTTTTTTAGTTCGTTATCATAAGTTGATAACGCTATAACATTTCAAAAACTCTTCTATGGTATTTCATTATATAATAACATAAGTAGAAAATAACGTAAGGTAAAGCTGAAAATATCGATTTTTTTATAAATATACACGCAAAATATTGTTTTGCCAATTTTACTTTAGTCTGTCAAACCAACTTAAGTTAAACTTTTTTACTTTTTATAAAGTAAAATAAAGATAAATTGCCATCTCTACTCAGAAGAGGTCACTAAAAAGTGATATTAATCAACTAAATCAGTAAAGAATCGAGTATTTAAGACGTTTTTTAGATTCATTGCGAAAGACTTTTGAAAAAGTTCTCCAAATGTAGATCACGACTCCGAAAAATTCAAAGTATCGGAGCCAGGATCTGAACAAAACTAAAACTACCGGACTCAGATAAAGATCTTTTCCGTGCCGCATAACTCCAGTCTGATAATACATAGATGAATACTGTCCTACAATTTTCTTTTAATGAAAGTCAACGCTTTCTATCCTATTTTTCAAAGCTAATTAAAATAATTTTAGATTTGCTAGCACATCAGAATCGCATTTCCGCTAAAACAAGTTTCTATTGTAGATAATATTGTGATAGAAGTACACTGAATCAAATTTTAAATTGAAATTTCTTAGAAGAAAAATTTTATTGAGATAAATTTCCTATTTAAAACGTCATAAATACAACTATCTACCTAACAAAATTTAGCATGATGAAATCCTATTTATACGGTTTTTATCGTTTTCGTTAAAACTTTCTACAAAATATGAATTTCTACAACTGACAATCTTCAATGAAGCTATATAAAAAGTATTAAAATTTGGTTAATATGACTTAATGTGTGACACTTCACAGCACACAAGAATTAGTCTACCTATTCGACTAGTTCTCCTGAACTGCGTAGTAGTTTCTTACAGTGATCTCAGTCACGAACTAATTATTAATTCATTGTTTATAAATTATGAGCATCAGTTAGTTGACAATAAATGAGTTTAAGGAGTAGTCTCTTTTAATTAACACGATCAGCTACAGTTTAATTCAAATAAATATGACGTTGGTCGAACAGTTTTCGTTCTATGAATTGCACTAAAACATTATTTCGTCGATTTAAATTGTGTGAAAGAATATTCGTTATTCTGTCTTCAATACGAATTTTTTTTCGGTCAATATCTTTTTCTAACTTTTTCCAATTCTTGCATTAGTATGAAGTTTGAAGAGATTAAAAAGAAAATTATAATAATAAATATTTACCCATATAAACTGTAATCGAAGAAACACTGGGAAATTTTTCATCGAGTTGCTCAAGAAATATATAAAGTGATGGATGAAAATCAATCGAAATATGTTGAATGTTTGGCCATTGAAAAACATACGAATCATTACTGAAGTAGGAAAAAATGTTATTCAATTAAGAACCCGTAGAATATCTTACACTAAGCCATTAAAGCTTTGAAGTGTGATGTTGATATTTGTAGAAAACAAGTGCTGATACGATCTTATTGGATCATAAAAATATTTTATATTTGTCCATTGACGAGTAATAAAAAGAGGATGACGTTGAAATGAGCTGATTACTTTTTCAGCATCAATCGGTAATAATTGACAAGGAGAAGATATATAGAAATCAAAATTTATTATATTATCTATAATGTCCGGTAAACAATATTGTTGAACAAAATTTGCATCAATAAACGATTTCCATATTATTTGATCTGCTCGATATAGTTTTTCATTTCCTAGGCGAAGTTTCAGTTTTTGAACATGATTTAAATTATTAAGAAGCCATTTCAGATAGACAAATTCCAAATCATTTAGAATGAAACTTTTCAAAGCAAAATATCGTAGATTTGGAACCTATTATCAAAAACAAAAATACAATTTAATTCTTTAATAATAAAAATAAAAATTATTTCGCTTTTTTCAATTTATGATAAGAAGAAATCGAAATGTGCAATAAATGATCTCGTACAATATACAAACTTTCCAGTCCGGTCATTAAATTGTCAATAGAATTGTGAATCATCTGAGCATGTTATTACATTTATTAGTTATGCGTTCTATTTGATCATTTCATATTAATGCGCTTTCCATGTCTAATCAACAATTCTGTTAAAACATGTAACAATTCAACAAAAGAAATTGCACGCATGTTCGAATGATATTCATACAATATTATTTTTCAGAAAACCGAATTCTTTTCACGTTCTATATGAAGAATAGAACAACGTAATTGCTGATATGTTTAAATATATTTTATCAAACTCGATTTTAATCAAAAGATTTATGAAAAATGAATTTTTTCTTCATGAGTTAAGAAAACTAAAGAAAATACGTTGAAAATTGTTCTCAATGAATTGGCCCTAATTAAGACGCAGTAGTACACAGCTTATGCCAAACATCCTATCTAACTATAATCCTTGATACTTCTACGACCTGTCTTCAAGATTTTCACTCTATCGAGATAAAATTTACTTTTTTTCAATAATTTTTTTCGTTAGTTCTAAATTATGATATGAGATTTTGGGTTAAGCAAAATATAGGATTGATGAAGAAATCTGAATAGGTTTAAAAAAAAATACATTTCTAACTAAAACTCACGGTAGCAGTATTTTCTACGCGTAAACAATTCAAATAAGTAGTTAAATAGGAAATTTTCAAAATATTTCTAACATTATTTAATCTTCAAAGAAAATAATCTGTAATCGAATATTGTAAAATTCAAAAAACCGCTGCTCTGCGATAAAATAATCAATGAAATAAACACCTCATTAGAAAACTAATGATACTTGGTAGTTGATCTTTCATCCAAGAACGAGACAATGCTTTTTGTTCTTACTTTATTATACCAATTTCCATTTGATTGACATAATTGTTCAATTAATGATACAGACCGCGGTTGAATATTTAATGTTTTGTTAAATTCTACTGATAGCCGTTCAAGAGCAGGCATATGTTCAATAAGATGTTCAAGAAAATATGTGCATTTTATGCGAATATATAAACGAGAAAGTGTCATGCAAGAAGACTGAACTTGATTTGGAATTGGATTGTAATATGAATCAGAGAATATTTTTATACACTGATCAATATCATAACTACCAATATCAAGTCGAAGAGAATTTAATTGACATTGAGATGAGAATAATTGACATAGAAAATGTTTGAACATGTCGAGTAGTTTCTCTATAATTTATCAATAGAAAGAAATAATCATTACTGAGAAAAGAGAAATTCTTTTTTCATGTTTGCACCAACACAAAAATTTCATCTATTTTTCAAATCAAATGTTTTCTTGTATATGAATAACTTGCTCTACGTTTATGCAATTAAATGAAAGTTATTTACGAAAATTACCATTTTCTATCAATGAATCTACGTAAACTCAAAAAATATAATTAAACCAATAAAAAATCAATTGCATCACCATCACTATATTCTTCAATCGTTAACACTACATTTTATCCAGTAAAACTATATCTTTAAACATATACATATACTGGGTGAGGCAAAACCCATGCAACATTTTCTGTTTTGCATGTATCTTTGTATAGGAACATGATAAAACATTGATCTTGTTTTCAAACGATGCGCCATCGAATTCTCTACAAACTCATATTCTCTTAATTTTGAACAATAGAACTTCACACTTTTTAATAATTTATTTTTCCATCCTAGTGGATATTTTGTCATTGGAACATTATTTACTGATAGACAGCTCTTGGAATTCTCTGTCGATTGTATATATAGACGACGTTTCTAAATGGTCGTTCTTTCGGTTAGGCGCAGTGCCACATTTTGAAAACACCATGATTTTCATGCTTGGCTACGTCTTATCAAAGAAGATGTTCTAGGTGTGCAAACTGACTTCATTTTTGCAGTATTTTGTAGAAAACGGATTTCTCTTTCTAGGTGAAGCCCAAATAACACATGAAAAAACGATTCAGTTGGAAGAATCTGAATAGTGCCCAGAGGGCCATTTCCGTTGTAGCAGCCCAAACAGGCAACAGTCTGTAGATGAATATAGATCGTGATCAAATGCTTACAAATAATTCTAAAAGAGCATTTGATATACACTCAAATTATAAATAGAAAGTTTCGTACATGCCTGTTTATGGCTTGAATGCATTGTTGGAAAAAGTTTTAAAAACGTGTGGGAAGTAGATCCACTTCATATACTCACACTATGTGACCTGTAAAAATGTGAAGTTCTATTGTTCGAAATTAAGAGAATGTGAGTTTGTAAAGAATTCGATGATGCATCTTTTCAAAACAAGATCAATGTTTTATCATGTTCCTATACAAAGATATATGTAAAGCAGAAAATATTGCACGAGTTTTGCCTCACCAAGTAAATCTACAGTTCAAAATATATAACCTAATTTCTATAGTATTATGCCTGTATCCTTACAGCAATATCTTTTTACCTACATCCACAGATGTACATTCGTAGACATAGATTTTCGCGCCTATACTCTCCTATGTGTCTTATTAGGACTATATATTTACACCAGTATTGTAATGTCTACTTCTCCATACGTACACTCTTATAAATGTATTATAGTCTTGGTCCTTTCAGAAAATTTGTTTTCCCACTGCATTATATTATTGTACCTGATTTAACTAATTCACTGAAAACTAAATACATATAATTATTACCATGTTTCTTTTGTGCATCCTTCACGACAACACATAACTATATTTCCGACTAATACATCCTTCCTCTTTTATTCTTCCATTTTTATATACCTCTGCATATTTATACATCATTAATTAAATAAGTTTAACATCATGAAAAAATCTCAGTTTAGTATAAAAATTCTCCATCCTAAATAAAGCCAACTATGCCTTTGTCCTTTCTCTTTCAAGTATATTTTATCGTATAATTTTGTGCAATTATGCAACATGCACATATAATCTAATACTAGAATCATCAGATTTCATCGAACTTGCCTAATTTTACTTGATAAGATATCTTTCGTATATTAGCTTTTATCAAGTTTTCTATTTGATATTTTCCCTCTTTGATAAATTAATTAAAAGATTCTTAATTACTCTTGTTATATTTTCTTTTCACACTTGGTAGTTCATATCGAAGAGCATTGAATGCGTCGTTATCAAATGTTAAAGTAAGTTCATCTAATTGGTTGTCAATAAGTAAAGATAAATTTTGAATTAATGGTCCAGACAACCAGCATCGAGTGAGAACAAGTGATTTTAGAAAAGGAAAACGAAGCATTTTTTGATCATTATTTTGAAAAAAAATCCATTCATAACTAATATTACAAGCTATTGAATTTGTTCCATCATAACACATACGTCGAATACAAGAACAAAATGATAATAATGATGAACGATTAAGAAATGGTAGTAATCTTAAATAATATTTGTCGTAAGATAAACCTGAATCTTTAATAACAATACCACTATTTTGCCGATTATCATTTATTGAAATAATTGAACAAATAAGATTATTTATGCGGTGATTTAATGGCCACAAAGTTAACATTTCTAACCATGATAAATAAGAGAAGATAATAATAAGAACTTCATTTGGTAATGTTTCAAATGTACATATCATCTTATCTGAAAAAATCACTTAAAGATATGAACACCATATTTTCTCTTTTTTCCTTTACATCTATAAAAAATAACACCTAAATTGACAAATTTGAGTTTTAGAAAATTAATTTCCTTGGGAAAAAATCTGAATATGATTTCATACAAATTCTCTTCGACAACTTTTTTTCTCTTCAAACATCTTTCTATGAATACAACGTTAGTGCAGCCCAATATATTGAGAATAAGTGTATGAAAGTCTAAAGTGAACAAAGCTAAACAATCTAATCAATAAATAATTTGAATTGTTTCACACTGCTGTTGATAGTTAAATCATGAACAATTATGAATTTGAATACGTTCGGATCGTTCCATATGAATCGATCGACAATTTCAATGCAGCCTCATTAAAATCCACGAGCTAAACTGAAACTATCACAGATCTAATTAAGAAATCAATCATACATTTACTTCTTTCGAGATTTAAATATCTAGTAAACTTTTGGCTTCATTTTAGTTTATCAACTGGCTTCACATCAAACAAAATTTTTTAAATGACAACTCCGTCCTTCTACCTTTCAAGAAATACAAAAAATGATAAAATCTGTAGAGTATCGATATCTATTTCTTTTAAAACAATCCGTTCAAATATTCTAATAGAATATTTTAATAATTGTTAACGAATGTAAAATCGTTCAATAAACAACGTATAGTAATAAAAATATTCCTTATGAACATATAACTAATCATTTTCATAAACGATATTGTTTGTTCGCAGAAAATATTATTACAATAAAAATTATTATTCATTTTATGAAAGAAAAAAATACTTACACAAACAAAGAATGCACAAAAATCTTAAAAAATAAATCAATTTCTTTTTCTATTTGCATTAAATTTTCTATCTGTTAAGAATTTTGAAACGTCGTCTTTATTTCGAATACTATACTTCTATCTGTTAAACATGACGAGCTTTTATGTCAAACTTAATTTTTTACTTCATTTCGAATAAAGATGCAAAAAAAAATGCTGGAAAATAATATCTAAACGAATAGTGAATCTTTAATATAATTACAATTAATTTACACAAAAGTAAAAGCTGTTAGCGCAATCCCTTCGGGATTTAAATGTGAAACACGACGTAACTGTTGAGGTGTATCATAGTCATTACTCCACCTCTCTATTCTCCCTGCATTTCTAATACCGTTTGTGATGGATCGAAAGCTTTTCTCTCAAGGCCTGTGAAGATTAATTCATTAATTCGACTGTAATTAGCTACTTAATTAAAATGTTTTGGAAGGAATTCAAATTCTAGTCTTAACCCTTGAACTCTGCTTCACCGGTCTCGAACGGTCT